AAAGTGGACAAAAGAGACTGATTAAAACACCTAGTGTAAACGGATATGTGTCTCCCTCGTCTACTTGTAATCCGATCAACCAAAATGCTTAATACCAGCTGTAAACAGTGGCTTTCTTTTAGCACTAGAACATATAATGCAGTAGATAACAAGGAGGGACTCACGGAGGCGAGCTTACTCTACATATTATCATTGTCGAACCAAGGCTATAGTAGAGCACCCATCCAAAGGGGCACACATCTCTATTCAAACCCTAACAGAAGTTGGGGAGAGTGATAAATAATGTAGAGGGAATCTATATTGTCCTACATAACTCTGTTCATCCTGCATCAACCCTAAGGAGATAACCTTCAGCCCTCACAGGCCCCCAGAGAGGAATATATCTCCTGAAAGCTGCTGACTGAGACCTCAGCTCTGTAAACTTCTTTTCGACTGCCTTGTCAGGACAGGAAGACAGAAGAGGTCAGACTGAGAGATCAAAGCTTTGAGAAAAAAACATTCTCCCTTTCTCCTTCTCACCTATGCCCCTCCGATGGCAACTATAGCAACCATAGAACGGCCGATGCACTGTTCGTGTGCATTGTCGCACAGTTAGCTAGATTTATGGTTCGCTGAGTTTTTTTTTTTTTTACCACAAAGTGCTGATCCTCGACTCATCCCTCAAGAGAGAGTGAAGTAGTGCTGGGTGATATAGCTAAAAAAAATGTAATCACGATTTTGACCAATTTGCAATTTTGATTTAAATATATATATATATATATATATATATATATATATATATATATATATATATATATATATATACAGTATATATATACATATGAAGCTCGTGAGGCCAAACGTGAATCGGATCGACTTAGGACGAAAACACGGATTTTGAAATGAATACAAAAGACTGTTCCAGAATAAAAAAAGTAGGTGCTTTAGGATGTAACATTGATTTTATGTACTACAGTAGATATACTGTCGAACGTCACTAATCCGACTACTATCATGTTGTTTATAATACACATTTCCAGACACGTTCAGTACAGTAATGTTACTTCCTACGATCTTACTGTTACACTGAAATTGTTCAGTCTAGTTCACTAACCGTTTTCGTTATCATAATATACTTTCACTTATGTTGACATTGCTGATTGTGAAAGATACACGTATAGTTGTGCTAGATAACACCACAAATGTAATGCTATCATAGTACGAGCATGGAGCATTAGTTCAACGTCATGCTGTTAAAAGTAGCCTATTATTGTAACGTTGCAGAGGGAGTTAACATGAGTTTCCAGCATGATGTGTGATGTTTTCTCCGGTGTGTTGAAAGTCTGATGGTGTGTTCACACCGGACACGAATAGCGTGTCAGGCGCGAATGATTTCAATGTTAAGTCAATGCAAAGACGCGTTACGCGTTTAAGAAATTCCTGCGGCGCGAATGAAAGGCCAATTTATACTTCTGCGTCAAGGGTACGCCGTAGTGTACGGCGTTGGCTACGTACATAGGCGACGCCTTTGTGAGCATTTATACTTCTACGTTCAGGTCTTGGTTGCTCTGCAGTACTGCTCCGAAACGCTAGTTGGCGGCGGAGGGTTTTATTGTTCCACTGTTTAGATTCCTCGAGTTGCGGCTAGGTTACCACAAGCCTGAAAGAGAGCGGATCATGTTGGAGTTGGAGCTTATTGAGGTGGAAAAACAGTTAATTTTAGTGAAATTACTAAAACTGAAAGGCAGAAATGAGAGAAGACGTCGGAGGAGATGGTACGTGTGGAAATGCGTGAGAAGGTATGTGCGGAAATGTGTAGGAGGAAATGCAATGCTACCAAGCCGACCAATCACCGATCTTGCGGTCTGCGTCGTCGCGACGTGTAGTTACATTTTTGAGGAGGTGCGTGTCAGGCTACGGCGAAGGGTACGTGGTATGGGACGCGTCTCTGCGTATGTTACGCCGTACCAGAGCCCGTCTAACAGAGAGTTTAGGCACTTCCTATTAGCCCCATTGTGCATCACCTTGGTTGCAGTTCCATTAGAATTCCACTGGAGGTGATCGTGGGCGAGTGCAGAATGAATGGGAGTCTATGGGGCTAAACGGCTAAATGTGTCTCTTTCACCTGCTTGTCGTTAAATAAAAATAGATTTTATTGTTGATTCCGCAAGTTCAATATAGATTATAGGCCAAAAGTCAAATGAACGAGTACTTATGTCCTTTTGATTTCTTACAGGTTAGGCCATTGTTGGCTGGAACACGCTAGCATTCTGCTGTTGTGTGACGTCATCACATTTTTGAACGGATTTTTAGAACAGATAAGTGAACTTAAAAATGTAATTTTCAGCTGAGTGTATTATCTTTGCCCTCCCTTTTGAATGCAACTTTCAAATTACTTGACAAAAAATTACATCCTGAGAAAAGTAGATTTCTGGGGGTGAAACCCCATTGACTCCCATTCATTCTGCACTCGACTGCGAGCGCCCCCGCATGGACAGAGACGCGTTACTGCAGCCAGTCCAGAACCCGGAAGTAACCAGCCAGTGCCAATTCTCTTCAATTAGACATTCTCTGGCCGTACCTACTGCGCACACCCTACGCGGAAGTCTAAATTGGCCATGAGGCGTAGAGCATGGCACGGAAGACGCGAATACGCCTCATTCGCGCGTCAAGTTCGCGCAAATGGCGCCAATTGAGCATCTGGCGCGTTAAGCGAGAATGATTTAGTTAGTGCCACTTGTGCATTCACGCGTTTGATGTGAATTCTCATCTGCCGCCCGAGTTGAAAAATCTGAACTTTGGCGTAAATTCGCGGCGCGTTAACCAATCAGGAGCCTATAGCTGCTTGCTCACGTGGTGAAGTGTCTGGATGCTTCAATATATTATTTTGTAATATGACTAAATGCATGGTGGGATTCTTATGCAAAACAAAGCAAATATTTTATCACTAATTTTTTTTCTATATATTCATTCCATATTTAGATTATATGAAATAGTATTATGATGTAAAGACTACCAACATGTGTATAAGTTCGTGTCTGGACTAGGGTGACCACCTGCTAATAAGCCCAAGGGGGGACAAGGGGTATGTTTCTGAGGGACAATGTGGGACACTGCTTGGCGCGGCGGTGCCTCCATCCCACGGGCAGACTCTGATAGTGGTTTACCCCTATCTAGAATTGTTACTATTGCCTTACTGTTTGTACATGAATAATTGTTAAAAAAAAGCACATACCTTAGCACATACATTAATAATGCCCTATTCCCTAAACATCTGTAATTGCTGATAAATGCTCATGAATAGGCCAACCAATGTGTATTTTTTTTTCTAAATAAAATGAATATTTGAACATTCAATGAATTGACAGATGCACTTCCACTTACGATTTACTTTAGCTATTTAATTTTATTTATTTTTCATTACAATTAATTCACTTTAAATAAATAAAAATATAAAATTATAGGATTAACAGGAATTATAGTTCCTCAACCCCACAGGAACAGTTTTAAAAAAAAAAGTCGAAAAAAAGTCTAAACTCATAACTCCAGAGGTTCACGGAACGACAAGGTGTGCTGTCATGACAACAATGAAAAAGTTGACATCAACCTAGTCAGCAGGTCACGTGGGAGTGGCAACCAGTCTTGGGGAAGTTCTCACTTTCTGAACTAGTTCAAAGTTTAGTTCACACATTTTAAAATGAACTAGTTCAGTTCAAAGTTTGCACAGAAATGTAAGATTGTTCCCATCTTCACCGACCTCGTTATAAAATCCGTTTAAATTATCATATGACGCCTTTGTCGACGGCGGCCGCGCGGTGCGACACTGGTGGCTTGTGTTGCCAGATTGGGTGTTTTTTTCGCTACATATTAAACCCTGTTTACGTTGAGTTTTAGCCGGGCTTTCGCCTGGAAGGCTCTATAGAAATCTGGCACCCCATTGAACGAAGTTAAAATGAGAGAGCGTGCGTTCACAGACACCAGAATGAACGAGTTCACTAATCAGGACAGGCAGTAAAACAATATGTTCAGTTCACCCACAATATGAACGAGTTCATGAACGTGAACGAGTTCAGGCACAACGTTTGGCTGCCTGGGTCTCGAGGATATAGACTGACCGACTTTTTTTTTTTTTGAGCAAGCATTGATTATGCGTGACACGGTCTCAATTTGCGGGACGCATGAATTGGGCTTCAAACGCTGTGCGTGCACGCGCTACGCGGGACGGGTGGTCACCCTAGTCTGGACGTGAGAGAGAAAAATTACAGGACGGGTTAATAACTTTTGGAGCCTGGCTCTATTTATCATCAAAACAAAAATAAATGACAGCTAGATTAGATGGATGAGGGCGAGGGTGATCCTCTCTCTGATGCTGGACAACAGGTCATCAAACTGCGCGCAGGACAGGCGGAAGTACCGCTGTCTGCGGCCGTCATCCAGACGCAGCTCCTGGAGCGACCAAATGGTAACTCGCCAAACGGTTTGCCTCCGAAGGGTCCGGTGGACACACATATGGCGACAATGATCCCCACACCGCTGTTCTAGCTCTCCAGAGCAAATACAGTGCAGTGAATCTCTCGACTAATGCACGATCAACGTAAAAAAGATGGCCGCCAATGGGTTTCGCTTTTTTCGTCTGTTGTGATTGGTCAACCGTATAATGTATATCGGAAATTTAACGGCCTTCCCATGATGGGGTTTTAGCTTCCAAGGCTTTAGTAAACATCTATGGTAACTATGGTGTGTCTTTATTGGAAGTTCATACATTTTTTTGCCCTCATAGTGAAAAAACAGTGTCTCCTCAACATCAACAATCACTTACCCAACTGTTCTTATTATGCAAATATGTAACATGGTGATGTAGTCATGGAAATACTAGCTGGATTGCATACGAGGTGTTTTCAGGCAAGTCTTATCATTTTAAGACAGCTTTGTAACTTTGCAAAACATTTACATGCACATTTACAACACAAACAGGATAATATATGGTCTTTAAATATCAGTTCATTTCTGCATCCGTACAGGTGACGTTGTGGAGTTTCATGGCATGGAGGGCACAGGTAAGACAGAAACCTTGTACCACCTGATCATCCGCTGCATCATGCCAGTGCAGAATGGAGGTCTAGAGGTCGGGGTGGTCTTCGTTGACACGGACTACCACTTTGACATGCTGCGCTTGGTGAGCGCTCTGGAGGGACGTTTGGCCCAAGACTTAAAGGAGAGTAACGGCTCTGAAAATGAACCAGAGGAGAGGGTACGTTCATGTCTGCGCAGGCTGTCTGTAGTGCACTGCAACAGCTCGGTACAGCTCCTCTTAACCCTGCACTACCTCGAAAACACTTTCTCCAGCCAGCCCTCCGTCGGCCTGCTGGTCATCGACAGCATCTCTGCGTTCTACTGGGTGGACAGATTCAGTGGCGGCGAGAGCACAGTTTGTCAGGAGGCTAACTTAAGAAAGTGTACCGAGTTGCTGGACAGACTCCGCAGAAACTACGGCATTGTGGTTTTCGCCACCACTCATGCCATCATGAGGAACTATGGATCTGATCCAGGGGTGTCAGATGTGCCCTGCGCTTCCTCATTATCATCATCATCTCACAGGTGGAGGTCAGCTGAAAGCGCTACAGACTTTGACAAGCCCTACTTGTGCAGAGCATGGCAGAGAATAGTAACTCACAGGATGCTGTTCACTAAAAGTCCCGTGTCAAATGACCACAAACATGTTTTCTCCACAGCATGCACCAGCATAATGACCAAAGGTGTCAAAAGAAGCTCATTTCATGTCATGGAAGACGGTATTAAATTTATATGCGACAAGTGAGCATGAACTGAAACTCTCAGCACAGGACACTTGCGCTTTTGGGTTGTCACAATTATGAGGGCTACTTAGCGAAAGAAAATGGTCCTAAAAATGTCCACTTATTATCTAATGATCAGTGCAATCTTTTCTAAACTACTATCAAAGACATGATTTGTATGGATCGTTGATACAGAAAACTACTTTGATTTATGGTTTAGTTGTTATATTAATGGCTAATGAAGACCTTACTGTATCTTTCTTGGGGGAAAAAAAATAAAACATACATTTTTTGCCATTCATTAAGGAAATTTATTTTATGGATGACCTCAATTTAAATTTGCTAGTGTTTGCGAAGTAAATCATCACTTGTGTACTAATTGGAAGTGTATGTGTTAGATGCATTAGTGTTGTTATGGAAATGTAGGGGAGCGCGGGGCACAACCTAATGCGGGGTTAAATGTAACACGGACCGTTTACATAGTTTGTCAGGATCAAGCAGGCTGTCTTTCCACTATTTTTCTCTTGCTGCCAGAAGATGGTCTCCCGCAAATTTATTTCGAGAAGATACTGGACAAAGAGTGTTTTGACACCATGAAAGTAATTTTTTTCATCATAGGTTTTTTTTTCTTCTGTTTCTGAGTTGGGTGTATACGTTTACAAATCTAACTTTATATTGCCTTGATCACTGTCTTGTTGGCTTAAACATAGCACCGTTTTGAAACATGTCAGCAATTCCTAGCGACTGTTAGCTAGGCTTAAAATATGTAATACACAGCGGGGTTAATTCTAGCACAGTGTTACAACTAAGCCTCCAAGTGTACAATGATAATCAAACGAAAACGGAGCCACACAACTTTTCAGGTTTGAGTATACATTTAACTTTGTTAGACTTTCACAAACAATGTTGGAATTTAAAATGTTTAAAATTTAGTGTACTATAAAAGATAACTTGTTTATTTATTAAAAATATGGCCTGTTATTAATGCAATAAACCCTTTAAATTTTTATTTTAAGCTCTATTATTATTATTACTGTTATTATTATTAATATTAATTGTACATGCAGCTGCCACACACAAATCTAATTTAATTGCAATTACAATATTTATAATTTTACTTATTATTTATTGCAAAACTATGCAGCCCTTTTCTATGTCTCTATCCATGATATTGATTCACAATAGAAGGATGATTGGATGAGGGATGGATGTATGGATATCTGTCTATACAGATGCACAAACAATATCAAACTATACAAATAAAATAGTCCTGAATTATGTGTGTTACACACAAGTGTTACAACTAACCCCTCTGTCTGTTACAATTAACCCCGCATATGGGGTAAGTTGAGACATTTGCACTTCTGTCACTTTCAGTCCAACTGTACGAAAATGGTAGGTCCTAGAAAAAAAAAACTTACAGTGTTCATTTGTAGCAGAGATGTGTATGTTGTTTGTGTAAAAAAAGTATTAATCTAACCTAATTATTTTTTAATTAATTGAGCCAAAACAAAAATGCGTTAGGTTGTGCCCCGCTCTCCCCTAACTGTTATCGAACACCTTATTCTTAAAGTCAGTTTTAAAGGAACTGTATGCAAGATTATGGCCAAAACTGGTACTGCAATCACTTTCAAATTAGGGTGTACCCCCCCCCCTTCCCCCATGACTTGAGGTTGCCAGATATGCTGCAGGTTCCAGCAGGAATGTAGGCTGCTACAAGAAGCTTCCAATGGCAAGTGACGAGTCCTACACAGTGAGTTTTTTTTCTATTAATTTTTTTTCGACTTTGTAACAAAGTATTTCAGATTAATATCGAGTTTTTTGGGGTTTCGCAACGTTAGAATTTTTTGTTATCTGATTCCGACACGTTTGTATCTGCAGCTCTGGTAACTAGAGAAGAGATGGCAACCCGAATGCCGCAACACTACTGAGTCCGTGATTGGTAGATCAGTGGAGGGTGACGCATCAGAACAAAACACAACTTGACAACATCAACATCAGTCAAGGGCTGCGACTTCACTTTTTAAATGACAATATCCTGGCCGGACTACTGTTGTCAGTGATATAAGTATTTGAAATGAACATGATTTCTTAATGTCTAGTGACATATTAGGGAAAATTTATGATTTATTGAAATAAATTTCTTGCATACAGCTCCTTTAAATTAAAATTGCAATAGCCTTTTCTTCTCTGACAGCTTCTTGGACAAGTGAAACAGCTTCTTCTAAAAATGTTGGGCGGGACTTGATTTTGTTCATTAGAATTGATTGGATTGTTGAATCTGCTTGGTTTGCTATTGCTGTCTCATGTGAGGGCAAGTTATTTGATTAAAGACTTTCTAGAACACATGAATGTAAAAAAAAAAAAAAAAATATGGTAACGCTTTACTTGAAGGGGTGTGCATAAGACTGACATGACACCTTCATAACCATGACATGACATATGTTATGAATATGAAGTAGGGTTTATGCATGTTTATGTCAACTGTCATTAAGTTTCTTTTGCTCAATAATGACATTTTGAATGCAAATATGACATTGTTTAAGATGTCTTTGTTATGACATCTTGACATAAACCATTACATCATAACCTGTCAGAGTCTTTGTCATGACAACTTGACATTAAATTAAGATAAACTGTCATGTGGTTGGCTTTGACATTGGCTCTCATGAGGCATTATAACTCATGAATATTTTTCGGGACCTCAACTAGAATGGTACACATTTAATTTGTCATTAAAAAGTTATAATGGCTTCATGACAGTCAATGTCAAAACCAACCACCTGACAGTTTAATGTAATGTTAACCAATAAAGCTAGGTGGTTTCTTAAGTTTGATAATTAATCTGCTATGTCATGTTTATGACAGGTTGTGTTGTCTTAGTAATGTCAAGTTGTCATGACAAAGACACTGACAGGTTATGATGTAGCTATTGGTTTATGTCAAGGTGTCATAACAAATACATCTCAAACAATGTCATATTTGCATTAAAAATATCATAACTGAGCGAATGGCACTTAATGACAGTTGTCACAAACATGCATGAAACTTCCTTCACATTCATACCATATGTCATGTCATGATTATGAAGGTGTCATGTCAATCTTTTGCACACTCCTTCAAGTAAAGTGTTAAAAAAGATTAATAAAAATAATGGTGCACAGATAAACAATATATAATAAATACTTCAATATTCTGTTAAAGGAGTAGTTCACTTTAAAAAAACAAAAAACAAACTTTTGCTGATAATTTACTCACCCCCAAGTCATAAAAGATGTCCATGTCTTTCTTTCTTCGGTCGAAAAGAAATGAAGGTTTTTGATGAAATATTCCAGCATTTTCTCCATATAATGGACTTTACTGGGAACCAAACGATTCAAGGTCCAAATGAGAGTTTCAGTGCAGCTTCAAAGGGCTTTAAACGACTCCAGACGATGAATAAGGGTCTTATCAAGCGAAACGATCGGTCATTTATAAAAATGAAATTAAAAAAAGTTTACGTTTTATAAGCACAAATGCTCACCTTGATCTGTTCTGTGATGAGCATTCGTGACTCTCCTGTTTAAACTCGTTCATCAAAGTGAACAAATGTATTTTCGAGTCATGACTCTAAGGGTCCTTGATAAGACCCTTATTCATCGTCTGGAATCGTTTAAAGCCCTTTGAACAGTTTGCAGTTTGACCTGAAAGTGTCTTTTGGACCTTGAACCGTTTGGTGCCCAATGAAGTCCATTATATGGAGAAAAATGCTGAATGTTTATCAAAATCCTTAATTTATTTTCGACTGAAGAAAGAAAGACATGGACATCTTGGATGACATGGGGGTGAGTAAATTATCAGCAAAAGTGTTTTCAAAAGTGAACTATTGTGACATTCAAGTTAAACAGGCGAGACTTTGATAGGATTGGTGTCTTTGGCTATTGCTATTCATTTAGTAGCCCTGACCCTTTCCATGTTTTGCCATATTCCTTATGTTTCGGTTTATTTTAGGTATAGCAACCCCCAATGTCATTATTTATCCTAAATAGTGGGATGTTTTGTTGTTGTTGTTGTTGTTGTTTTTTCAGTCTACACCCCAAATACACATTTGTGAAGTTATTGAAAAGGTTGTGAAGTTTTTAAAGACTTATCTAGATAGATAGATAGTGTATCTTTTACTTTATTTTATAACTTTTTTAAATGACATTTTATGGGCAGAAAATGCTAATCTATAAAGATTCATTGTCGTAATCGTAAATGTACCGAAATTCCCTGAAGTGTTTGTTACTGAAAATAATAAATTGTATTACTTGTTAAACCAGTCCCATGCGCTAGGTCTCTCTCAAACACACAGCATGGATCATTCAGTGAGCGGGGAAGAGGAAACGTGTTGAAGCAGAGTGATGAAAGTATCAGTGAGACACTGTCTCTCAAACACTGGTGCTTCTTTCAGGCGAAGGAGCTCATTTCCTCTTGCACCTGCTCTGCTTTGGACATCTTCCCTAGAATCATTGACCTTTAATGAGCCTCTTTTTTATTAGGAGAAAAGAACAGAGAATTACTGATGTACTTATAAAACACTGCTTTTATGTATTTTATTCCTTTATCTTGAGTTTTATTTTCTGCAGTTCAACAAAAGTTTAAACTTTGAGTCTTTAATTCTTTAATCTGATTTGTAAATGGAATGCTGTGCATTTATCTGTTGAATTTGTGTGCACTGCTGATAAGAATATTCTTTAATAAAAATGAAAGTAAAATAAATAAAATGCCAGCACACATTAATAGCTAAATATGTTCATTATTAAAGAGAATAAGACCGTCTCCGTATATTTATATTAAAAAAAACTGACCTGAACATAAGTGATTATATTTACCAAGTCAAAATAAATATGTGGAATCTGCATTTAAATGTCTTGTTTTTCCCTTTCCTCATTAATATTCTTTTATTTATTTTATCTTTTTGTCTGTTATTATTTACTTAACCGTATGCGTGTACATGAGTAAAGGACATTAGAAAAATGCAGCCTCTATGTCAAAGTCAAGAATGCAACTGAAATTTAAAGCAATTTACACAATAGCCTATAAACAAAGAGAAAGTACAGGGTTTATAGGGGGAAAAAAACATTACTCATTATAACATTTGGTATTTTGTGATGTTCTAGCATGCATAGGCTAATTTTCAGGCATTTAAGAAATGTCAATTTAGTATTAGCCTATTAGAACTTAAAACATTTGTTTTTGCTAAAGGAATTGATCAAAAGGTCTGAGATAAGTAATACTGCCTTTTCTGTGCTGATAGGCGACATGGACTCGATCCATCTCAATTTCCAGAGTCTACTTCCGCGTTTTACCACCCACCGCTGACGACTCAGAAGACTTTTTACCTTGAGTATATCTCAGTGTATCACTCCGCAGGGTCAGTGAGACTTTTTAAAAATACCTCCCATGCAGTTTTTAACAGAAGTAACTTACATGTTTGGCACACCACACCTCGTATATTCGGTTTATAGATGTTCTGTACGAGTTGTGCGCAGTTTAAAACGGTAACACTGTCTTAAACGTTAAAGTGGGTCTATTTGTCTGTTGCCGTGACAGGCAGTGTTTCGGTCTCTCTTAAACATGGCCACCATGATGGAGTAAACGCTACAACTTTAAA